TTACTTCAAGAAAGAGAAGAATTAGGGAGAGATTTGGAGAAGCTTCAGAAGCACAGGAGTCAAATCACAAGAGGTGATATCGCCGATATTGACGAAGAAATCGATAATGTGGAAAGTAAAATCAGTTATCTACAGGTAATTTATTTTAACCACAGTTTAATGTAATTTAGCGTTAATCGTTCCCTTATTCTTATTATAATGTGCACAATTTTACAGGACAGTATCGCGGAATGTCAGCGGGACATGGTTGAAATGGGCGATGGTGAAGCAGAGGGTGAACCCGGTGTCGAAACGCTCATCTCTACAATTCGAACAGTAGACGAAGCACAGTACTTACTTCAACGAATGCTCGCATTCACCGTGGAGCAAAGTTGCATAGCCGCACAAAAACAGCTCGAGGTGCGAGATATGGAATCACGGCTCAATCAAGTTGCACAAGAAAGCGATGTACAACATCAATTACTGGAGCACGTTTTACGCGATAGAGATCTTTTATCTCTCACAAACAATCAGAATAATGTATTAGCTTATAGCCCAGCCAGTTCAAGGAGTTCCTCTCCCGACAAGTAAGTCAAGCGATTCTCTAAATAATTTTCTAAGCATTTTACTTTCGAATTGTGATGATATCTTTCAAAAGTGTAATTTAAATGCTTTAATTTCAACAACATATATTTATACTATCTAATTCGAAATTACTTACTTTTCTTTCTATGTATAAACTAACCGCGGTATTTATCTTCTGCATTAATATATGTATTACATACGCGCGTATCTCATTTTTATTTATATCGTCTGAAACAGTGAAAGTTACGGCCAAATTATACTCGGTGAAGAAAGGCAGCGCAATAGTAAAGTTAGAAGAAGAACAACACAACCGCAGGAACTTCTTTATGGTATACACGTTAGTCCGGAAAATGTGAAAGCAGATGATCAAAATCAAAATCATAATCATCCTCTTACCAGAGTCCCCAGTGCACCGGGTAGCCTAAAGTAAGTATATATCTTTTAGACTCCAATGTTCTTAGAAAAAAATGATACATGTGCGGGAAAATTTACACGATAGTAATTCTGTATGTGAATATACAGTTCTCCGATATATGTTTGTTTTAATTTCTGTGTACAGAGGACTGGTATTAACCAGAAATCAGTACAGTGGCACTGTAACTGGTGGATCACCAACTATGAGTCGTCGCGACAGCACATCGCCCAGAGCTCTGCGACGGCCGATTCATCCAGGTGGAGGCTCTATGTGAGTGATTCTTCTGCAGCACATTCTTGTTCTTGTATTCCTTATATATATATATTTTTTTTACATCCTCCATGCACTATTGAAGACCTTTATTTTCTTCAGATAAACTTTATTTTATTGATTTTATTTAAGAAGGAATCAAGTGCAAGTATTTCGTGCCTAAGAATATAATAATTAATAATTAGGACACGCGCGCGCGTTTGCGCACACACGGTATATCAAAATGAGCGTAAGCACATGAATTAATGTTAAATGCCACACATTTAATAAAAAAGACACAATCTTTTAATATATAAATTGTAACGTACGCACATATCATGGTGTTATGTTACAAAAGGTATCTGTTATATTATTCTCCCTGTGTATAAAACGTGTGTCTCTGGGCTCATCATCAGATAAGATATTTAGTAAACATTTCCAAGAGTGTATATTGTAAAAAATAAAATATAAATATATGCGGGAATAACATATTACATATATATACACACATATATGTGATATGGAGTATACGTTTTATACAATAACTGTATTTTATTTGCAAATGATATTTTTAACAATAAACCTAGATTTAGATATTTACAAATAAGTAAGACATGTATATTTTCAGTAATATATATTATATTTCTACACATATGTTTTTGCAATAAATCGCTGACACGCTATAGATTCTATCTATATCTATTTAACTCTTTATGCTAATTTATATTAACATATTATTAATGATGGCAATAAGAAAAGACATTAATTTATAAATGGAACATGTATCTTCAATATGTATAGGCGTAAAAATTATATATTTTTTGTATGTAGGATAAAGAATAAATGACCAAATTTTAAGTAAGACGCGAAAATTCGATAACTGATGAAAGTTACCTCCTTTTGGCTGTTCCTTACTTACATATTTCTAAGTACGAAATTTGCATTTGATGGCTGAAATTAATATTTGTGTTTAATTGCGCACTACTCCTATACGTAAACTAGATTGATATAACGTTTCGTTATCTTTCCTACGAATGCATGTCTGATATGATTTTCAAGTCGGCATGAGAGATTATTGGCCAAATGCCGGCTAACTAACACGCTAACATAACACACATATTAGGGAGCAGGTAGCGCATACGGATATATCTTCACCTCCTGGATCACCTACTACATACAGACGGTTCAATAGCCGCGAAGAAAACGTATTCTCCAGACTAACTGCGAGCAGGCAGTTAATTGCGTCTGAACCACAACCAATGAAAGGAATTATTTCGCAGTATCAGGGTAAGGTAAGCACGAACAGGTAACGAGCTTTCTGCCTCTCTTCCTATCTCTTCCGGAGCCAAGTATTAGATATAATTTTTTCATCAGATGCAACCACGGGCCATTTTGCAATGTTCTCATGTTGCGGAAGGACACAGCAAAGCTGTTCTTACTATATGCGTGACGTCGGATTTACTTTTCAGTGGCTCGAAAGGTATATATATATATATATATTTGAATTGCAAATCAATGATATCGAAAAATATTTGCTCGAGTGTATAATCGCGATAACAAACGAGTTACTTTGAATTTTTCAGATCGCACCGTGAAAGTATGGGATTTGGGAACAGGAATTGAAAGTTCAACTTTAAGTGGACATCCTAATAACGTCGTTGCTGTAAAGTATTCCGCTGTTCATCAACTTCTATTTAGCGTATCCGCGGCATACGTTAAAGTTTGGGATTTAAGAAGTGGCAATAACTGCATAAAAACGTTGTTTTCTTCGGGTCAAACTCAGGCCGGTCCTATTGCATTATCAACTCCGTCTAGAATACTTCAAGTACCAGTGGGCGAAACAACAATTAATGATTTAGCGCTCAGTTTGAACGAGCAGGAACTGTACACTGCAGCTAGTGATAAAGTTAGAATATGGGATCTTCGTAAATTGACATATACCGCTAGATTGAGCACGCCACACACAGCGGCCGTTATGTGTTTGGCTGTTGCTGAGGATGGCAGAGTAATAGCGGGTAGTAAGGATCATCTGATATCTCTTGCCGAGCCTAATATATCCGGACCGTCCGTTAGTTTAGCGCCACCACATTATGACGGAGTACAATGCTTGACAACAATCGGCTCTACATTGTTTTCCGGTGCGTTATTTGTTGCGCATTACTGCGTAATATATAAACATGTAATAAATAATTTATTATCATTGATTGATCTTCAGGCTCTAGAGATATGTGCATTAAACGATGGGATTTAAGCAAAATGGAATTGGTTCAATCTCTAAACAACGCTCACAAAGATTGGATTTTGGGATTATGTACAATAAATAACGGTTCCATAATGATTTCGGGATGTCGCGGTGGTATATTGAAGGCATGGTCAGTTCCTAAGGATCATATAGGGGAATGTACGCCTATTGGAGAAGTGCGAGCACACGCTTCTGCTATCAATGCTATCGCAACCAATCAGCAGCATATATTTACAGCGAGCAAGTAAGTAAGAGAATCCAAACGTTTTAATGCTTTCATAATCAAATCTGTCTCGAAAATAATATTCGATACAACGATATGCAATAGTTTTTTGCAAATTGACTATTGGCATATGTTATGTGTATCAGATATGCAAGATGTTGATTTCAGCTCTGGGGAACTGAAGCTGTGGCGTATACCCGATTCCTCATTATCTATGTCTATTTCCACAGTTTCCCTTTAACTTTATTTGCTTTTTGCCTGTGCGATACTGTGTATGCGCTTATCTTATATTTTGTGATAATGCGCATGCTTATTTATAATTGAACATTTAAAATATGTTACACATAATGCAGCGTTTTACACGTAAAAATAGCTGCATTATTTGTTACACCCGTGTAACATTCGTTGAATGTTACCATACATTTCACGCAACACTATACATACAATACTAATTATTAATACTTGAAGTCGAATAAATATGCGCAATTACATTTTGTGAACTTTGTGTCTATATTTATACATATTTGCATTATGATTCTGTTAATCATATTGGTATAATTTTATTGTCCATCTACACTTTCCAAAATTGCAACACTATGTTTGAGACGTTCAAATATAAATGCACGGTATATCCAATTACAAGCATATTTTTTCTATAAATGACATCAATGATGTATAATCATTCTCTTGCTAGTCAATAAATCGAAAAAATAAATAACTTAATCGATTTTATGACAATTGTAACAAGTGTTATTGATTTAGTGTGTACGGATGTTTAATTCGTTATTATTTGCTTCTATGTTGTTTACTCCACTTTGGTGCTTTGCATGGTCATCATGTCGATACGAAGCGATGGAACTGTGAAATTATGGAACTACTATAAACGAGACGTAAGGACCTTCCACAGGAGCAACTCACTCAAAAGCTAACACATATGTGTCCTATACTACAAATTGTATTTAATTTGCAATTATATAGTTTTCGTTTAGTTTAAATGATAATGCACTTGATCCATCTACTATTATATTAGAGAGTTTGTACTTTTTTTATACTTTGCTATTGCATTAATTTTTTAATATTGTTGAGAATACTCTTCTGAAATATTTTTATATATTTTGACTTTGTTGTAATTTTAATAAGTATTAGGAAATGTGATAATTATTTAAAAAAACATGCAGGACAATATGTAGATTTGTTGTCTAATTAAGAAAATGACGAATCATAATGTTAAAGTCTGTCTGGAATAGGAGTGATGTGCATTATCATAAGATGCTTAAACATAAGGCTTGGATAAAGTATTATATCTATAGAAAAAAAAGCTATATGTATTATCTGATATTTATTTTGTTATGAACCTAAAGATATGATCGTAATAATAATAATTATAATATTTATTCTTAGTACAAACAATAATTGTTGGTTAATACTGTACAGTCTGAGGTCTCTGTAGGTTCCAAATACTGGATATTGTCAGGGTTGATTATTAGTCAATTTTCTTCTGAAAATTTTAAAACAGTATTATATATATATATACATACACCTTAATTATAATAATTGTCACATAAATTAATTGTATAAAAAAAAAGAGGGAAAGGAATAATACATGATGATTATAGCATTTCAGTATATACTACCTCTTTTTCTTTTTATGCGCGGTAAGTGATTCTTGACCGCTATCGTCCTCACTATCCTCAGATTGACTACTACTGGTACTACTTGATGAACTACTCGAGGAACCGCTCGAAGAATCACTGGCAACACCAGTATCTTCTTTTACATCTATAGTTTCTGCTAAGGTTGCCAGTTCAGGTTCTTTATCGTTGAGTACTTTTAACCATTTTCGCGATAATTTTGGCCTTCCTCGTACCTGTGATTAATTTATTATTTGTTATGCGTGCGTGCATCTAAGTATTCTTGTAAATAATCTTACGTTAATAATATTTCCTCTCTAATTGTAATATAATTATGTATATTTTACTCGTCGAGTTCTTACCGTTTTATGCCAAACTACCGGAAAGTTAGTACGCGAACAGAAGTTTTGCGTGACCGCTATGGTTTCGTCAAGATTTAATACGATGTGCCACCATCCGCCAGGAATGAAAACAGTTTCACCAGGGGTTTGCAGGATTTCTATTGGGCGACAATCTTTTGGCCAAGTAGGTAGCTTTGTGCGTGGATAGACAATGGAAAACCATGTAATAGCTTCGTCCCTTTGTTTACCACCTTCGGCTGCGGTTACTTTTAGAAGTTCGCGAGGAGTATGCGTAGGAAACAGACACCAGCGTTTATGGCCAGAGATTAATGCATTCCATGCACTGGTACCCAATGGATCTATATGTATTCCTGTGCCTGTTGTGATTTTTTTTTAATAGAATGCATATGTCTTACATATTATTAACTGCTGCATTATTAACACACGAGTCAAACTCATTGACATATGACACGTGTAACAAAGTTCTTATTAAGAATGTGATTTAGTTTTGAGTTTTTTTTTCCTCAAAAACTATTTAAACATATCACGTAAACGTTTAATAACTGTTGTACGATCAATGTTTAATTCTCTGGCAATGGATTCTGACGTAGATTATGCTGGATTTTCGTTCAATAATGCAAATTTGGATTTTACAGCTTTTGTCATTAACATTGAAATCACCACTTTTGAATCGATAGAACCAATAATCGCACATCTTAATTAATGGAGCAACATCATCATAAGTTTCTATCAGAATTCTATGATCTTCGACCGCCGTTTTCTTCTGATTAAAAAACAAAAGTGTTGAAAATGCTCTTTAAGAAGCTCTATTCTTTAAATGGTATAAACACGATGTTTATTGCGTCTATTGTTAGTAAACGACTAAGGCCCGATTTCACAATATATTGTTACCTAAAGACTAAAGGTAACCAAGAAATTCATGAATGAATTTCATTAATGAATCTGTTGGTAATCTTTAATCTTTAGGTAACCATATATTGTGAAAACAGGCCTAAATATCATGGAATAATATTAAAGCATTAAGAAATAATAGCTATGATTGGAATATCTTAGATAACACTGACATTAATGCCGTCTCTAGTAACACCCTCAAAATTAAATCACACTCCAATAATGTTGTTACAGCTTTTAAAACAGCTTCCACATTAGCAATTTTTTAATATTTAAAATCTTTGTTGGAAACAAAATGTATATATATTTTTTAATCGGTGCAACAATTACTTTTTCAATTACGTTAAAAATTTAGGGTATGCTCACGCGCATGTGTTGAAAGATGTTAATGTATGTCTAATATATTTACCAGATCTTGCAGGCCCCATAACAAACCAACGATATGGTGGTCTTCGATGTTCGCCGGCATGATGAAAAAGATCATCCCGAAAATATTTAGGAATTACATAATCTTCCAACAATTTTTTTCGTCTTGGATGTTCACCAAACGAACTATCAAAAATGTATAGAGGAGAATCATCTTCATTATTAAATATATATCGAACGTAATATTTCATCTTCATTTTTACACTATATCCCTCATTGTCTTCTCCACATTTAAACTTTTGATTTCGATATTTTTTTGCTAATCTCTGAAATTGAATGAGAAAACCAGAATTATTAAAACTTATTTTCACAATATATGAACATTAAAGACACGACTTTCCTTTCAATTGAGTACATTAATAAAATTTAGGGTTTGTTAAAATCAAGTTACAATAATATTTGAAAAGGACATCTTTAAATAATCAATCTTATTTACTTGTAAAGAAGTACTTATATAAAGAATAAAACAAACTGGTAAATATCACATACAAAAAAGATCCAACCTCTATAGTCCATTTGTGTTGGGCTCTCCAGCCATTTTGAACACCTCGTATTATCACAGGCTTGTAAGGTTTTTCATATTTTTCTACGAATTCTTCCGTAGCCACACTGGATTCATCAATTCGTTCAGCATTGTCTTGAAATTCCCAGAATTTTTGAAAAATTTTACAATAGCCATGCTGGATCCACGCAGCTTTATCAGCAAGCTCTTAAAAGTATATACGTTCAAGTTAAAAGTATGTATCACGAGTTTTTGGCAATATCAGTTCGTGATTTAAATTATTTAGTATATAAAACTATGGAATTATAATAACAGTGACATAATGTGTTTCTGCAGATCACAATCGAGACATATAGATCTCGAATTGATTTGATGGATGCTTAAAGATCTTTAAAGGTGAATAAGTGGATTATAAGATTATCGGGAAATTGAATTACATCATCGTCATTCAAGGTCTCGGGAGAGTTCTCTTTCTTGCTCTTCTTGGAAATAATCGTATAAAGTCGGTGAACATGATTTTTTACTATCTTATTAAGCTCGGGCATTTAACTTTTGCTACGTATAACAGATACATGAAACAGAAAACGAAAAAAGCCGATATCGGTGTGACACTTCGTAACGTAGGTTATAAGTTCCATTTTCTTTACCTGGTCGAGCCTTCTTTTTCACCTCTTTGATCCTCTTTCTCGCACGATGATCCAATCTCCATGCTTCTGTCATGACTACGTTTGTATTATCTATTTAATCTAGAAATGTAGAGAGAATATATTTATTTACAGTTTACAACAGATTACAAAATTCAAAAATTTTACAAAATGTTGTGGGACGACTCACGACGTCGGGAAAACGTCATTTAGTATAGTAATAATCGGCGATAACGGATGGCAACGGAGCTCAGTGTTACCAAGATTTCATGCTTCTGCGCATTCAAATGTGCGCAGTCTATAATTTGATTGGCTGCAGGAAAGAGAGTTTTCGAGAAATTCTCTATCTCGCAGCCAATCAGCAGGCGAATTCATCGGACAAGGTTGCTTTTTTACTAGATCATGCGCTAGTTAGCTACATACGTTTCTAGGAACTCAAGCTAACTTCATAGCAGTTCGATTTCGACGATTCCTAAAAAATAAAGAAATCGCGGTATTTGTGGTATGCATACACATACATACGATATGTATGTAGATATTACGTACAGCTTGTGCAAAAGTTTGCATCAGAAAAAAGTAGTTTATATGGGTAAAACTTGAGTGTGCTAATTCGCCTGAGCGGAATGGCTCTTTTGACGAGAAATAAAAATTCCATCGAATCGCGAACAAATCTAATCAATATTGATAAGAACGATAACTATGCGAGATTTATGAGAAATAAAATGGAAGATTTGACTTGTGGAGAGCATGGTGTATCTGCGAATACTCGAGAAGAAGATAACTCGAGATAAAAAGACGATAGAGAGAGATAAGAGGCGACTAGTTGAGTGAAGCGAAGCGAGGGGAACGTCCGGACCGGATGTGCAGGGTGCTGGGATGTGCGGCGCTGATGGAACAAGATGGAAGAGGCATGACGCCATGTTCGCCATGTTTTGATGTCGTCATCCCCCCCACCCCCACCCCTGAACGTTGTTTCGTGCAGAGGATAGCCCGTGTTTTTTAGCGTGTGCTTTCCCGTAGATTCACGCCGCAGCGCACGTTCCCGGCGATATCCGGCGGTATCCGGTGGTTTCTAGTAGTTTCCAGTGGTTCCTGATGGCACGGTGGCCTGGTCGCGCGTTCACCAGTACCGTGGCCTCCCTGAGCCTCCCATAGCTCGTCGATCTACATGCACGCCGAGCGGAGCTCAACGGAGCTCAGCGGAGCTGGATCTGCTGGATAACCCTCGTGCAAAGTTCATCCAAGTTCACCTTTGGTGGCTCGCGCTCGCGCCAGGACGTTTTCATGTCCATGGAAGTGACTGCGGTGCGGGGGGGATCTACTGTTTACGACGCGGTGGTCGTGTCCTAGTGATCCCGACGGGAGAGATCGATCGGAGCACAGCCGTTTGCCACTGACCCCGCCACGTTACGTTAGCACTGCCTCGTCGTCGTCGCCATCATCGTCATCGTCGTCGTCTCGTCCGTTCATCCATCCTGACCGACGGCGCGCGCGTTTCCTTCGGCGTTGCGCGTGCACGTCGCATCACGTCACCTCCGAGAAGGCGCAGATCCGTGCGGGACGGATAGAGAGCCTTACGTGCGTGCGTGCGTGCGTACGTGCGTACGTACCGTGCGTGCGTGCGTGCGTGCGTGCGCGCGTACGTCTCCTTTTCTCGACTTCGTTTTCCTTTCGAGTACAAGAGGAACGAGGGAAAGAACTCGCTAGTAAAAATGGAGCTGCGCTTGCACTCGCCAGCAGGAGCGGAACCGATCGTGTATCAGTGGCCTCTTACCTCCGGATCAGGCTCTGTGAGTAAATTGGCGAAAAAAAAAACTCGCGTACGACTGACAGTTCTGTCCATTATCTGCACTCATTTATTTTCTTTTCTCGTGTCACGTTCTTGGTCACGCTACCGAGGACCATACCATAGCTGTGCTCCACGACTCTAAATGTCTTATGTATGTATGTGTCTGTGTAGGATCGTCACGATGGAGCACTGGACGTTATCGAAACTATGCGATGGGTTTGCGAAGATTTGCCAGATTTGAAATTACCCTTAGAAAACAATATCCTCTGTGACTATGATCCAAGAGACTACGAAAGTATGAAAAGCTTGTGCGATAGATTTAATAGAGCCATCGATAGTTTAGTACAATTGGTACGTTTAGCTCTTTTTTTCTTGCAATGCATTAGGTGATTTTTGGCGTGATTCAGGTATAGCAACCAAAGCGTATCAAACTGTACCAGAACATTCTTGCATGTTTGGCCATTAGTGATAGAGGCGAGACTAGCCGTTTAATTCATGTCTTATTTTCTCTGCCTCTTCTATTATATATCACGTTAGAGTAAGAAATTATTTTTAAAAGAGCATTAAATATGTACGTGTAAAAAAACCAACAGTTTTAGGATAATAGTTGTCCATACTGGTTATCAGAATAAGCTTCCTTACCAACATCTATCAATAATAACCTTGTACCAAACAATCGCTAAAAATCGCCTATTATGTGTGTCTATATCATTTCCTTTAATTTCCTTTGATTTATCTCCCAAGCTCTAAACAGTAAAACATATTGATGATTTGTTGAAAAATGTCTATAGGAAAAAGGCACCAGCCTGCCATCCCAGAGACTAAATAAGAGACCTACTAGAGGATTACTTCGTCATATACTTCAACAAACTTATAATCAAGCTGTGGTTGAACCAGACAAGTTAAATCAGTACGAGCCTTTTTCACCCGAGGTCTACGGCGAAACGAGTTACGAGCTTGTATGCCAGATGATTGATCAAATTGATGTGACAGAGGACGATGTTTTTGTAGATTTAGGTTCTGGAGTCGGTCAAGTGGTTCTTCAGATGGCAGCTGCAACTTTATGTAAAATTTGTATCGGCGTAGAGAGAGCCGATGTACCATCAAAATATGCACAGGTACAAATACACATAATTATAGATTAACGATAGATTTCTTTTTTTTTAAGTAACTAAAGTTTTATTGATTTGAAATGTTAAACTATTGTAGAGCATGGAAATAAATTTTCGAAAATGGTTAAATTGGTATGGGAAACGATGCGGAGAATATCGTTTAGTAAAAGGAGACTTTTTAGCCGATGAACATAGGGAAAGTATAACCGGAGCTACTATAGTGTTTGTTAATAATTTTGCATTTGGCCCAACGGTTGATCATCAATTGAAGGAACGCTTCGCTGATTTACGGGACGGCGCGCGTATAGTGTCCTCAAAATCATTTTGTCCGCTAAACTTCCGAATAACGGACAGGAATTTGAGTGGTAATACATTTATCTCTTAACGAATATTTCCAGAAATTTCCACAATTCTGATTTTGCAATTTTTATCCCGTCAGATATTGGCACGATAATGCATGTTTCGGAGATGTCACCGTTAAAAGGTTCCGTCTCTTGGACCGGTAAGCCGGTATCATATTATTTGCACGTAATCGATCGAACGAAATTAGAACGTTATTTCCACCGCTTAAAGAACAATAAACAAGGTGGCTTAGATGAAAACTCTGATTCTGTGATAAGCAACACTGCCAGCAATAGTAGTAAGATTTCTAATAGGAATGAAAGAGGTGACAGAGCAAAGAGAGATCTTTCGAGACAATTGGACAGTCCGAATCATTCAGAGCAACAAGGGACAAATAGTGACTCCGATCTAGACGACAGCACTATTAAAAGTCGTCGACAGCCAAATAAAATACGGAGGAAATTCAATCGAAAAACTACGAATGGCATTACGAGAGCTCCAGCTAGAGGTAGACAGAGGGGTCGAGGCGTTAAGAGAGCCAAGCCTAAAAAGGCAATCAATATATCTGGACTAGATTTGTTACATAGTCAGACTTTACTCAGTACATCACCTCAAGCTCTTGGGAAAAAGCCTCCACCTGCTCCTGGTTGTGTAGACCAACAACTGTCTTCATTGTCGCTTTCATTGCAATCGCATTCCACTTCAGTGCATGAAGAACTCAGTATACCACCCGCTCCGTCCGCGACTCCTTACGCTCTACAAATACTTCTGGACTTGTATAGGTAATTATTTTATGTATTATAATTATCTATATGGCTCAATCAGAATAAATCAATAGTAAAAAGAATGGGCTATGAGCCAGTTAAAACTAACTGGCTCACAGCCCATTCTTTTTACTATTATTTTATGTATCTTTCTCTATCATTTTTTCTCCTCTATCCTTCTCTCTCTCTATCACTTTGATTATATTTTTCTCTGTGTTGTTAACCTTTAAGTATAGGTAGGTGTGATGGTCACAGTATATCAGGTATAGTTCTCTTTAGAACCTTGTTTTGAAGAAGGAAAATAAAAAAGTATTATTGAAGTTCACTATTTTTACATTCTTATATGTCATGATGGTATAACTAATATAATTTATCTATTGTAACGTACCAGTGAAAAATATGACTATAAAATTAAAATTTTTGGGGGACTGTTCTGGGCATCTCATCTACCAACTTGCATACAACTTTAAACCACCCGTCTATTTTTAAAGATTAATGTTAAGAACAAAAAAATCTATTTTTGCCGCAGGGACCAATTTATGCTTATGTTAGAATCGATGAGAACGCCCACTTACAAGTTATCCGTCAATACGGATATTGCGAAAGAAAGAGAAAAGAACTCAAAACTTCAGTCGAGAGCGGCGCAATTGGAGAAACAAATTAAAGTGTTAATAGATGACAGCGTAGCCCTCTTGAAAGCAAGAATGACTGAATTAGGTATCAATGCAACGTCACCCGGGGATCTGTTGGCAAAAGCCAAGGAAATAGTTCTAAGACATAAACAGCTACAGGCTAAAGCGAGCAAATTGCAAGCGCAAGTGGCGTCTATGGAAACAGAACAAAACAGACTAGTGGCACTTAGACATCAAGAATTACAGGAAAAATATAATGGTCATGCAAATGGTATAACGAATCCACATCAACCGCTCACCGAGGATTATTTATTGAAAGAAATTTCTGCTACTCTTTCTCAGCGTAAACGATTACATTCTCAGGTGTATATTTTTGTTATTTAATATCAATTATTAATTAATTTAATTTATACAATAACACATTACTTTTGCATCCTCCTGTTACTTTTTTCTTGCTTCTTTCTCTCATATTGAATATACATAAATGTATGCGTGAAACGCAAAAAGGATTTGTTTTTTTTTTTTAATTTCATTAAACTTCTCTTTTGTGCAATAGGTTTCAAAGCTAGAGCATGAATTAAACGTATTGGAAAGAACAAGTAATGAGAAGCAAGTCGCTGCTATTGCTCAACAGCAAAAGGACGCGATTGGAAGCAAACATTCGCAAAATTTACATCATAGTAGTCAGCAGCAGAGTATTAAAAATGCAGCAGCGCGTAAAAGTAGGGAAGGTCGTTCGAGGTCGCAAGAATGGCCCGACGTTCCGGACATAGGAAAAATTCAGGAGAATAATCCAGAAATATTAGCGCAAAAGATTTTAGAAACGGGAAGACAGATAGAAGCAGGTCGTATACCAAGCAGACAGAGTGGTAATAGCAATTCCAGAACTAGACTGCCACAAGCTTCTCTCACCTTCTCCACATCGTCTTCT